ATTTCAGTCCAGTTATCCAGGTTGATTAAAAACAGTTCCTCCAGCTGCTGCCAGGTGTCTGAACAGCTTCGTCGTTTGAAGAGAATAATTATTGTACTGGATGGGGATGTGTCTTAAGTTAAGTTATTAAAAACATTCAATTAACCAAAATAAAAACATTAGACAGTTAGAAGAAGAAAAAAAAACTAACTACAACTAAAAATAAATAGGTAATGTATTTAGTCAGTTTGTTCAAATGTATTACACAACAACATGAGGAGGCATTGGTGCATATGTTTAATGAGCCTGGGATGTCTATATGGGTGCTTTTCATTATCATCCTATTGTGTATCTAATTGTTCTCCAACTGTCTTTCTTATTCCTCAAATGTTGAGGGTGTTGCACAACGTAGGGTAAAAAAGTTTGGTGCATTACTTATCTTAAAACCTGTTTGTTAAATTATTCTGGAACAGAGTTCACAGAATTAATGTTTATCTGACAAATCTGCTACATGTGAATCCATCTCATAAAAATCTGCAAATCAGGGATCCCCAACAATGCCAAATACTCTGAATTCAATATTTACTTATATTACATTTCTTTAAGAAATAGCACAGTAGGATAAACTGGGGCAGCTGTGTCTGAGGAGGTAGAGCGGGTGGTCCACTCATCAGACTGTGTGAATGGTTGAATGTGGCATGTAAAGCAATTTGAGTGACTAGAAAGACAGACACTATATAAGTACACCCATTTACATATTATATTCTTATGGTACTCAATTTCAAACCTACTTCTGTTCACTCTGTTCTTATGTCCTCCTATTTTCTTCTGAACTACTCAGAAGAAACAATTTTAGCAGAGAGAATTTAGTTTTCGTTTTTTCCTGCGGGACTACTGCTCCAGCCCAGTAGGTGACGCTTTAGTGCCTGTGAGCTTGTTTTCCGAGCAGAAGAAGAAGATTCATTTCCGGGATAAACAAGGACATGTGTTGAATAATTCTTGGGGATGTTGTTTTCTGTCTCTACCCTTAAACGCCGTTATTCCTGTCACCGTTTTTGGATTACATTACAAATTTGTATTTAAACGTGCATTGTTGGGAGCTGTTAGCTAGCATGGCGGTTTCTGCTCATGTCTCCAAAGTCCGCTCATTGTACAAGAGGATTCTGGTCCTGCATCGGTTCCTGCCCATAGATCTAAGAGCCCTCGGTGACCAGTATGTGAAAGACGAGTTCAGAAGACATAAAAGTGCATCTCCCGAAGAGGTGAAGAGCTTCATGGCAGAGTGGGAGGTAAACCAGCTTACGTTCATACACCGCCAACCAAAGCCCATTCAAAAATCTCTCAATTTAAAGTTTTCTTGAATGTGGATGAGCTGTTATTCACTTGTCACTCAGATAGAAATGATCATCTTTTTCACAATGCATTTACTAAACACCACTTCTTCCAACAGAATGTACAGCTTCTTCGGTTATATTTGGTTGGAGTTCTCTGAATCTTAACTCATATATAGCAATATAATGGACGGTTGCATTAAATTAAAGTGCTGCTTTATTTCCCGAATTAACCGAACGACTCGGGAATTTTAAATGTAACAAGTATTGTTTTACGAGCCTGTCACGTTTGCAGATTACTTCGGATGTATTATATTGGCAGATTTTAAAGGGAGTTTGGCTTGAGATTCGCTGTGAGCAAGAGACCTCCTACTCGTCTCTCAGTGGATTTTAAGATATAGTCCCCATCAAATTAAAAATGTCAAGTAACTTATTCAGTGATATTTCATGCCAGTTCTTTCTTTTTTATGAGGCAGTTCTTTCCAAGATATTCCTCTAAAACATCTGCATCTAAAACATTTAAAGCTGCAGGTAACTTTCATAAAAATATTTGCTGAGACTCCCCATGGTCCAACAATAACACGTTCAGCAGTTACAAGATTTACACTGGGTGAAAACTGAAAATGATAACTCTACTCTTAATGTACTTGCTAAATCACCCAAATCTCCCAGAGAAAGGACTGTGAACATGACCTCTGTTTTGTCAATGGTAGCTGCTGTCTGCCCTCAATTTGACTTTTGACTATCTTTGAGGGTTTTTGCATCGCCAGTGTTGTATCAGTCCATCACCACACGATGGCAGAGCAGCTTCAGTAATCATAAGGTTTAGTTGGGTTGTAAATCTTGTAACTGCTGAACGTGTTATTGGTAGATCATAATGAGCGATAGAAGTAACAGATCAAGCTTGGAACTGAATTGCTAACAAGCCTTTGCATTATCAGAGATGTACTGGTGGTTTTTCCAAATCCCAACTGTCCAGGTATGTAGTGATAAATGAGGTCAGTACAGTCTGATGTGTCACAGTCCTCCTCTCTGGTCAGGAGGGTGGCAGTATAGAAAGATTGAGCTTACTGCTGATTCTGACAAACAGTGCTCATCTTTTGGCCAACAGGTGCCGTGGTTACCTAATTAATATCATACTTAGTCAGTGATACATGTTAAAACATGGAGAGCTGGTCTTAGCATAGATAATGAACTCATATTGATACAGCCTTCGCATGAGATCACTTAGTTCACCTATGTACAGGGTCAGCAAGATAGAGATGGTGTTGATTCCTCTATGATTTTACATGGATTATCCCAAGTTGTTCTCAGATTGCTTCAGGTACACGCACAGACATTTCATTGATAAATTATACATTGTGATCACCCCAAAGCCTTTTCTGAAAGCCATTTCAGAATCTGCAATTAACATGACTACCTGCTAATTTCTGTAAACAAGAAACAAATCTCTTTTGAAGATCAGAGGTGGCTCTAGAGAACAATATTTATGGTTATATTATATATATTATATTTGCTTGGAAAAGGCACCCAAATGAAGATATTTGAACTCAAAAACATCATTGTGGCACATTAGTAAAACACTAAATAGAAATATCATAAGGTAGCATTATAAATAAATACAGTGTTTTATTTCCAAATCTTCAGATATTTTTCCAAATATGTGTTTTTTCATTTAACTTAAGCTGCAGTAGGTAATTTTTATAAAAAAATAACCTTTGTCATATTTACTGAAACTTTCACTATATCCTGACAGTAGTACATGAGACAGATACTCTGTGAAAAAATCTGGTTCCTCTGGCTCCTCCTAGTGCACCAATCCACCGGGCCTGAACCAAAACAACCAATCAATCATCGGCTCTGACTAGCACCAAGAGGAACCAGAGGAAACTGATTCTTTCACAGATTATCTGTCTCATGTACTCTCAGGATATAGTGAAAGTTTAATAATATTATACTCAGTAACACATAAATAGTTGGTCTAAGCATAAAAAACAAACTAATATTGATTTCTGACCAAAAGTTAACTACTGCAGCTTTAATAATAATTTAATAAAAATGCTTTCTTGACTCAGCAACGCTGCATCTTCTTCACCAGTATACCCCTGGTCTCACCCAGTAGTGTGTTTTGCCTCCTCCCTTTTTTTGATTTGGGCCATTGCAATAATGATAATTGTAAAATGCAAATAATGCCATTTGTATTTTTCTTTCGGAGATACATAGTGACAACAGTATACAGTTATCCCAGGGATAATCTGATCTGCTGTAGAAACCTCAGTCATATTGGAGTCAGACCGCCATGACTGTAAATGGTCATTAATAAACCTGACACCAGCCTCAGACACACCTGGATTCATGTGTTGATGGGGGATCAGTATATTTGCTACCCAACCCTTTAGTTCCCAAAATAGTCTTAACCATGAGAGTATGCCAGGTTTTTTTTTTATGTCACTATGGGGGAGAGCCAATGTTTCCCAGCACAATTACACACTGCTGGGGGGGAAGGTAAATCACCCATCTGCAGGTAATTTCTCTAATTAAGTAGATGGTGATTGCAGCTGGAAGCCTGAGAGGTCTCTTTGTCACTGCAGTATCTGTGAAGCCACTCGGGAGAAGACACTTTCATTATGCTCCACTATATCCGTATGCATTGTTTTCAGACCCAGAGTCCATTTGAATCGTTCCCAATCAGGGGACCAATGGCTTCTGTCATATTTACTCTATGCTCTGGCTGTATTTCAAATGGAAACATTTCTAGGGAATCTTAGTTGGAGTAAAACTGCTGGGAGGGATTCATGTGTGGTTTGGCTTGGAAATGTACAAAAAAATTACAATAAGGTCTCTGTTGTAATTGCTGTATATCAAGCTGGACTGCTGGCCCAATGAGGAAAGATACTCTCATGGCAAAAGCTTTAATAGCTTTTTGTTTTAATGGGTCCTGGTCTAAGGCCAAAAGAATGCATTTCTAATTTTGATAGTGAGCTGAAAAAGGGCTGTAGAAAGTGTAGCAGCTACTGGGGATCCAAAAAAAAGGAATTATTTAAGAAGATATCAGTCATAACTCTCACAGGTGTAAGGAAATATAAAAAAAATATTGTAGTATTGTATCGAAAGCACTCCATTGATTTTTGTGTTTAAACCCCCAACCGCTAAATAGCAGTGTTAAGAACTGAGGGCTATGATATTGGCTGTTACAGGGACTGTGATAAATACAAGTGCAGATCCCACCGTACTGATTCCATCAAATAAGTTTTAGACAAAAAGAAAAAAAAAAATTCAATATATCACAATATATTGAATTGTAAACCCTGCATCGTGATACATATGCTATCACCAGATTCTTGCCAATACACAGCCTTAATAACCATATCATATATGAAATACAATACAGTTAGTAGTTGTTAAGGTGAGAATTATTTGTATATTGTATATGTATATGTATATTGTATATGGCTGGAAGATTATTCATTTATTAATGTAGAAAAACACAGTGCACCAAACTAGATTGAGTTAATATCAGCCTTTCTTAAAGCTACAGTAGGTCACTTTTGTAAAAAATATTTTTTTGTCGTATTTGCTGAAACTTTCACTATATTCTGACAGTAGAACATGCAACAGATAATCTGTGAAAAAATCTGCTCCAATCACAGACCACATTAACAAACAACAAAATCTTTATTTCTCACACCAAAATCATTTGCACCAATGGATGAATTTGACAGCTGTTCTGAACACACTAAATTCTATTAAGTAATATGTGTAGGAGAACTCTCACAACACAGTCTCTCTCTCCTGAGTGTTTCCCTAGTTTTTCTCTCTGTCCATTCTTTCAAAAGGAGGGGAATTTCCGCTGCGTCTCTGCTTCCTCAGAAAAATACAGAGGAGGGGAAACAGACGAGGAGCGAGACTCAAAATGAGATTACAAGCACTGAGTGTTCAGTGTTTAATCCATTTATTTAAGACGCACCCATGGGAGTTCTCCTGGCTCTGTTGGGCTAAGTAAGGTCTCCCGAAATGTGTAAGGAACAAAGGAAGAGATGGAGTACTGTAAAAAAAGAAGATTATTAACATTATTGCAGAGAAACACCTTTATGTGGTGCACTATATGAGCTGCACTGAGCCAAAGAGTTTAAGAAAGATAAATGGAAAATGAAGCCACATACTCGTGTCACTGTGATGAATTCATTTATTTGAATAAGAAACCAACATGTTGACAAGGCTGTCTTTGTCAGGGTTTGTCTGTATGAAATATGGCTGTGACGTCCCCCATAGGTAATTAAATTATCTATATGGAAAAGTGAGGGCCACTTTTCAAATAGAGCAGGTCTAGACCGAACTCCTTATAACATTTATAGAGACCCAACAGTACCACCATGAGCAAGCACTTGGCGACGGGGGCAAGGAAAAACTGCCTTTTAAAAGGCAGAAACCTAGGACAGATCC